GGTGTTCAGCTATCTTCAGGGACATCTGTAAATGTTCTGCCCTTGGAAGCTCAGGTTATAAAATGGATCTATTCTAAGTCACCTGCAAGGCTATTTCAGAGGTCTGTGTGTGTAGCATAAATTCAGCATGCTCAGTAAGAATGATAGCCTTGTTCTGGTGTGCAACAATATATCTGCATTTTAAAATGAGCTTGAAAAAAAATCTGAGCTCATTGTTAGTATTGCATGCAAAATAATTTCTGTTATATCCTGTGCAATGTAGGTACAGGTCATGGCAATACAATGATATTTGCGGCTGTATGCCTACATAGTTTTCAAAACTAAAATTCAATGCTTAGCTAAATTGCTCAGCAGACTGGTAAATGTCCAATTTTAGCAGCCTGGCATATGTTTATAATTTTTGTTTTAACATATGCTATGTTGGTTGAACTCCCCTCCCCACACATACGGTAGATAAAAGCTGTCACATCACAAAATGGTGGCAGCCCAACTTTTCTAACGTTTTCCATGGCACTTCAGAGTCTTGCATTAATTAGCTATTCTTGGGTAGGAGACAGACTCTCATCTTTGTAGAATTTTGGTTTCAAACCCATCATGTACTTTGGTTTATGTATGCAGTTGCCCATCTGTGTTTCTGCAGCCATAAACAGTGAAAAGCTCAGGGCATACAGAAAAAAGGTCAGCAAGAATGAGAATGCCCTTTGTTCACAGATATGAATACCTAGCAAATGGCCCTGAAAGCCCATTTCATTCACCGGTGGGCTCTAGTTTGCTCCAGCAAGAATGTTCTCTCTCCTCTTTTCCACTTTCCTAGGAGAGGTGGGTGAATAAAACAACACAGGTGCACAGTCCTTTTTCTTTTATTGTGAGCTGCTAAACTACCCCTCTTTTCCCCTCCTTTTTCAGGGCAGGTGTAAGGAGGAATTTCACCGAGTCTGCAATTCTTTTCTAAACTTCAGTGCAGTAGAGAGGAATTGTGACAAATACCACTGCAGCTGTGATAATGCTGACTTAATCCTCCCTGTACTGTGACATGGAAACCTGGATTTAGACATGAAAGGGCATGCCTTAACAGTACAGCAATATGATCCCTTATCCCATCTAACTGCCTTTTGCCTGTGCTCCAAAGTCACAATATTTTTTGGCCTTCAGTCTGCTGTTTCCCTGTTGTTAAGCTCCTGACAACAGTGCACTTCTGCACATGCATTGTCTACTGTGCTGCTGCATGGGGGTGACTGTTTTTCTGTGGGGGATGAGGGAGCCTTGCTCAGCAGCTGAAACTACTGTAGAAACAGCACAGGGCATGTGGTAGAGGACTGACATTGGCAAGTGCGATCACATCTGTGCCAGGTCTGTCCACAGCATGGACAGGACTGTTTGGATGTCTTCATCCGTGGGTGTCATGTTTGCCACCCTTCTGCCCTCTGGTCTACCTTGAAGCTGCTCAGAAGCTCATGTGCAGGCATGGTTCCAAATGTATCACCAAAAGAGAATGACAATAGCATCCCTGTCAAAAATCCCAGTTCCTGCAGTTGTATTAGACATCCCAGAATAGAGATAGAGGGACAGGCCCATGGAGTTGCAGAGGTACCTGGGAATGTGACAGTGGCAGTGTGAAGGTAAGAACCTGTGTGTAGAAGATGGTGGGCCTGGTGCTTGCATGTCCTCCTGCAGTGCTTTGAGAAGTCACACTGGGAGCTGCTGGTGGGGCAGCTTGCTTCCAAAACCGTTCATCACCTCCCACCTGTAAGTCAGAGCCACTGTCAAGCCCAGAGCCTGTGACACACTGGTAATGCTGGTGGAATGCTTTACCATCTTTGGATCATAGATGCCAGTGGTGGTTGTTCAGTGTTTATTTCCCATTTATATATTTGTTTTTAGCTACACGACCTACAGCTGCTGTTTGGCTTGCTGTGGTTGTTAGCTGGCTGACAGTCTTTGCTGTAAGATTGAAGTTTTGTCAGTGTGCACAGAAGCCAGTTGTTTCTTTGGGATTATTTTTTACTGACAAATAATAAGCATGGTGGAAATTAAGCTAGAAAACGATAAATGTCAAGTGTGCTTTTTCAGACCTTTAAGTAGCTGTCTACCAGAAACAAGTGTCTGTTAGAAGTGAGCATAAGTAATTAGTGTATCCTTAACATCACTTATTTATTGCTAGCAGAAAAGTAAAGAGATTTCTTTATTTTCCAGTGTTGCTCTCCACTCTAGTAAATATTTCTTTGATTTGAAGGTTTCTTGTATGGTGTAAGAAGTACAAACATGGCTTTTTCCTTCCTTCTCAATGGCTTCTGTCCCAGATGCAATGTATCACCAGTCGATTTGAACTAAATCCAGTATCATTTTTCTGCAGTGATCCTGGAAGTAGCATGCATGAGTCTGTGGTGGGAGAGGGGAGCAGAAGAACGCTGGTGAAAGACTTCAGTGGTTTTGGCACTCTTGTGTGATACCATGCTAGTGGCTCTTTTACTGCTTTTTGCTGTTGTTTGTAGCACTTGGACATTGGATAACATAGGATAACTGTAACTTTTCTTACTGCTCGCAGTAGATTTTGCTTTAGATTGGAATAATAGCCCATATAATAATTCAATTTAACTTTTAAGGCACAAGCATAATGTTAGGATGAAAACTATGAAAACTGATACAAGTTCATCTGTATTTTTTTTTCCTGTAAGAGTTTGTGAAGAGTATATACACCATTTGCTCAGAAAAATTAGTGTTTCTGAGCTATCAGAAACTGTTAGAAGTGTTGCTCATTGCAAATACTGAAAATCATCCCCACCAGCACTTATGGTTCATACTCTAATTTATTTTTCCACAAAGTTACAATCATGAGATGTACTGCTTATGTGAAAGTTAAACTTTTCATATGGTTGTCTAATTCTCGAAGGAATGGTATTTAGGAAAGCAGCAAACATCTCGAGACTCACGATAGTCACGAGAGTTTTTCATACATTAGTTATGTGTAAGTTTTGAGGTTTTTTGAGAAAACTAAATGTATGGGCAGATGGTGATATTTACTTAAGGGAAGCTGCATTCATTATCTGACTAGAACTGAGTATTCCAAGCAGCTGTTTGTATATGAGAACTCCCTTTCCATGAAGGAGAACTTACGTTTGGGGAAAATGGAGCCTCTTCTCAAAACATAACGCTATCCCCTCATTTAGTCTATGTCAGAGGGGTTACTGGTGTGTGTTTCTGAATTCTTTTATGGAAGAACCTTATTAGTAATGGCCAAGAAATAATTTGGTGAAATATTTTGCAAATTAAAAAAAAAAAAGGGCAATCTTTCTTAGAAGTTTCAAAACTAGGCAAAAGTTCTAAAAGTTATAGCTGCTCTTTTTTCTTAAGATAATTCAACCAGAAAAAGGGTTAAACCAAATAATTAGTTATTTTACACTGCCCTGCCAAATTTAATTTCTGACTACACAACTTGCTTTTATTTTGATTTACTGAGATACAGTACTTCAGGAAATAGACCTATGGAGAACATCCAGGCATAATCCAGACAAAAGGAAGCCAAACATGAACATACCCATTTTCTTTTACAGATCTGTTTTAGGGGGGGGGCCTTAAAGAGTATGAAAAATAATCTTAGTTTGTTTGTTCTTTATGTTCATTTTTCTTATGTTCTTGAGGAACGGTAGTCAGATGCTGTGATCCTAGCATAAAGATGGAAAGCTGTCCGTTTCTTGGCAGTGGTCTATTCATTGCTTATGTGCTTTATTCCCCCATTTCTTTAAGACGACTTTTACGGGAAAGTCTTTTATCCAGGGAACCTGTGGCCCGGGAATTCTTGGTTCATAGAGGAATACAAACCAGTTTATTGTTTGAAGCAGATGCCTTTCCTCGGTCACTTAACTTCTAATGCCTCTGTTTTCCCATTCCATAATAAGCAAATTATAATGCTTAATTGTTTTACTGTAACCTATGCTAATATTTTTTTAAGCCAAACTACAAATTTTCAAGTGACTTTTCATCTCGGAGTGGGCTTATGCATTTGGAGCGACTGAAGGTCTAATCATTCTCAAAACTGTTTGTTTTTGGAATTACCTCTTTGAACACCACAGAGTGATACTGCTGTGTACATGTGAAGCACAAAGCCTGTTTGTAAACAGGGCAGATGTGTAAATGTGGCCCTTTGGTAGGAAGCAAATTGTTCAGTTCAGACATCTTTCAGAATCTCATGACTTCAGTGATCTTCCTGATATTTGAAAAGCCTCCCTGCCTGATACAGTGTTGTTAGTCATGAAAGCAGCCATTCTGGGAACATGGGATTTTATGCTCACCCCAAAATGCTAACGTTGGTTCTGACTGTGTGGAGCTTTTATTGTGAATCTTACATGATATTCATATGTGAACTTAATATACTGCTTATATATAAATATATGCTTTGTGCTCTTTCCATCTGTTGGTTGGTTGGTTTTTTTTTCCTTCACAGTGGTTCAGTGGTTTGTAAAGTTTAACTGGTTTTGTCTGGTATTAAGTACAAATTAGTGATGGTTGTATAGTGTGTGCCACATGCATCTGGCTGATGTGGAATGCCTTCCATAGCTTCTGCTAATGGAGGGAGATGATAAAACAATAAGTTAATGCTTGGAGTTTTATTATAAGCAAGTCCGTTACTGCTGAAGGGTGTTGTTAAATTTCTGAGTTTTTCAGAAATAGCATTCAGTTATTGCCTTGTATTTTAACCGGACGAAAAATACCATTCCAAAGAAGGCCTGATGATTATTCAGCTATAAGAGTAGCAGTATCTGGAATGGGGTTAAAGCTAGGTCTGGAGTCATTAATACTGATGCAGGGGTACAGAGGACTGATAATTGAATAAGATATCCTAGCTGAAATTTGAAGTCAAAATAGTGGTTTGTAATGGGAACTTTGTCATATTAATCAAGCAGATATTTGGATTTCACATCCCTGAGATACTAGCAATTTCTGCAGCAAGCTTGCAGTCCGTAACCCGATTTTTAATTTTTTAATTTTATTTCTTTCTCTAGATCATAAGAGTTTGCAATGGCAATGCTCTGGAAATTCATGAGGGTAGCTAAGTATTCTAAAACAGCTTTGCTACCAAAAGTGAAGGTAAGAGGAATTCCCACCCATTTGAGGCATTCTTCATCCAAGTCTGTACCTTCAGAGTTTGCTGCCAGCACACCCTGCTCAAATACTGTGGAACTGCTTGGTAAAGCTTATGCTCAAGATGACTACAGCAACGTCACAGAGAAGATTCTTTCCAAGGTGGGGAAGAACTTGCACAACAAAAAGCATCATCCTTTGTGGCTAATCAAGGAACAGATAAAGGACCACTTCTACAAACAATATGTAGGACGCCGTGGGAATCCGCTTTTTTCTGTCTATGATGGTCTTTCTCCTGTGGTTACAGTACAGCAGAATTTTGATAGTTTGCTTATCCCACAAAACCATGCCAGCAGAAGTAAAGAGGATAACTACTACTTGAATCGTGGTCACATGCTAAGAGCACATACATCAGCTCATCAGTGGGACTTGATACACTCTGGCCTAGATGCCTTTCTGGCAGTGGGAGATGTCTACCGCCGTGATACGATTGATAACACCCACTACCCAGTCTTCCATCAGATGGAAGGAGTTCGGCTCTTCTCATGTCATGAGGTAGGAATTCTCTAGCTGAGGTGAAAGTTTTTGGGTAAGTTGCATGGTCTTGTATTTACTTTAAACAAAATACATGCACATAAATATGTTACAGCAACATGTGTTATGCTGTACATTGATACAGGTCAAGTGATCAGTCATGTAGTAATACTTGTAATTTGGGAAAAATATAGGTGGAAGATGTTGAATTTGAAAACAACTATAAACTTCCCCAGAAAAATGTGAAAAAGTAGAAAGAGAATATTTGTGAAAGCTAGCAAAATAAAACATTATCTAAAGGAAATAACTTGTTCAGCTAATGATCTGCATGACTCAGTTCTAGTTCTGTCACAAGTATCTTCCAGTGGGGTCACTTGACTAAAAACTTTGTCATATTAATACTTGAAGGACTCACAGATGTGAATTGTTGCAGCTAGATCCAGGATGCAGCTTTTATTCTGTCAACTTTTTGCTTTTAATAGCTCCAAACTTGTAAATGAATGTCTTTTTTAATGAGTTGTCCCATTTTTCATTTAATTTTAAAGCTGTATTGAAGGATTCATATGTCGCAGCTGATAGTTACAGGTGTGTAATACATGCACAATAGAGGCATCAACTAGAGAGCTGTAGGTAGATGTCCAAGACTGCATTTATATATTTTGTTGGCACAGCTTGTATGTTCTGCAAATGCTTGGATGTCATTAAGTATTCTGCTGTATCATTGATCAGTGGTAAATACAAGCCAGTTCGTGTTCCAAACAATAATTGATTTGTATAATTTGTGTATGCCTGTAGCAATACTGCCAAATTCACATTTCTATGACTGAAACTAGCTTATTCTAATAATACTGCGATATATACTCTTCTTAATGTGGTTGCAATGGTGATTGGCAGGAGCTTGGCAGGAAGCCTGATTGGTTTTGGATGCCTGAGGGAAACCTAGGATAGTCATAGAACACTGCCTTTCCTGCTGGTGGACAGGGTTTGTGCTGCCTAAATGGGCGTTTCACACTCTACGTGGTCACTGCTTCTTCCACTTTGAAAACGTAGCTGCCTCTGCAGATGTCCTGTGAGTAATATGGTGTTGAATACAGGTTGCAGCTGCTTCTCTGGTAACCAAGAAATGGAAATCTTGCAGATTTATCTAGTCTTGTTTGCTTGCTCTTCTTTTCCCGTATGCATGTTTATTAATACAGTCAAGGTATATGCAAGAGAAAAATGTACAATCCTATGTTAAGATAATGCCGTTTCTGAATATTTTGTGTTCATGACAATGTGGGTTTTTTACTTGAGCAGGAGTTCAGGCGTTCAGATGGAAAGAGTCTGATTTTTATCTGTCACAATATTATATCATTGATGCTCATGCAGGATAGAATTTCTGCAAACTTTGGTGTGATCTGATTATTGAAATTATTGTTCATGAATATGCCCCTTAAGAAATTTTGATCCTAATGACAAACTGATTTTTTCCTCTCGACAAATTTAGTATTAGTAATAATGGCAATAATAGGATTTTAATAACTGGGAAGACAGTTACAGAAATATTCACTGACATTTATCTAGAAATACATAATGTATAACAATCTGATTCATTGCATTGTAGATTGCTTGTTTCTTTTTCTCTTCTTTCTTTTTCCCCAAGAAAATAATTGAGATGTTATTGGAGAGGGTTAATGAATGATGAATTTGAAGTTAGCTATGCACTGGAAAATGTGTCTGTCTCTAAAGAATGGAAGACCAGCTGGCTTTCCATACTGGTAAAGAAAGAATAGCGGTATTGTGTACAATGTGTAAAGTCTTGTTTATTGGGCATCATGCGTAAATTCTAAACCTGAGCATGATCTAAAGCATCCTGTATTTGCTTTAGTTGCACATTAAAGAGTGAGAGAGTCTTGCAGTATGTAAAACGTCTTACAGTCATCATCACAAGAGCCTTGTGGGAAAGATTGAATGTGAAATTCTGAAATTCCACTGGGGACTGTTTCTGTGTTTTATATTCTGGTATCCTGTTCAAAATAACCCAAATTTAAATAATTCTGGAAGGAACTGTCTGAGTGGAAGAAAGGCTGAATGGAGGCATTACTACGTGAGATAAATATTTTTATATTTTCTATGCATTTATTTAAAGCCATGTTTAAGTTGTAAACCACTGAGAAAAAAACATGTGAAAGTCAGAGCCTGTTACCTTTGTCTCAGACTTTTCATTCATAACCAGAGTAGACTCTCTGGCAAGAGGAAATTTGCAGGGTACCAAAGATAAATACCTTTGAAACTAAGGGGAAGAACTGTTAGCTCTTAGCTACAAGCTTTGGGTGCATTTTGTCTTATAGACAATACAATAATCTTACATGCTGTAGTCAGTTTAGTGCTCTTTTTTGTTCTTTTGATTTATACATTTATCATTTGCAGAGAAAGTAACCACAGAACTGAGGAAGGGGTGAACAAAACACATAACCTAGAGTGATTTTATAGCAACTTCAATTCAGAGGAATTTGACATCTCGGTTTGTTAGGGGTGGGGAAAAGGTCAGATTATCCTCACCTGAGATTTTAGGTGGGGTAAGAAAGATATAGAGAAGTCTCTCTCCTTTACAAATACCAAATTTTGTAGTCGAGGCTAGGTTAAAACTTCTGCCCTGTGACTGAAACCTTTAGTTAAAATTAATACCTTGGAAGAAGAGCAGGAAGACAAATTGCAGCGAGGCAATCTTGCAGTGTTTAAGATGCTTGTGAGCTTTTTGCTTCTTTGGATATACTGTTTCTCATGAGGGTTAGATAATTATTTTTGTAAGAGAAAAGTAATCTATGATTTGAAGATGGGCAGGTAACTGATGCTTTTCTGCAGCTCTGTATGAGTGCAAATATTAAAGTACTAAAGAAGTTTCTATCTTTCAAACTAACTCATTGCTAAAAGTTAGAATAATTCATGCTGCAACTTCCCATAAACTTTTTAAAAATGTCCTTGGACTGCTATCACAGAGCTTCTGTAAATCATCAGTGTATTTTAGAATATTTTATGTAATCATTACCTGAATGTAATATATGAGTTAGAAACTAATTAATAGAAATACTTAAAACTAGTGCCAAAATACCTTCACAAATAATTTTCAAAATTCTGGACATAAAATCATAGAATCATAGAATGGTTTGGTTTGGATGGGACCATAAAGATCATCTTCCACTAGAGCAGGTTGCTCAAATCCCCATCCAGCCTGGCCTTGAACACTGCCAGGGATGGGGCAGCCACAGCGTCTCTGGGCAACCTGTGCTAGTGCATCAGACCCTCATACTGAAGAATTTCTTCCTAATATCTAATCTAAATCTCTCCTCCATCCTTTTAAAGCCATCCCCCCTTGTCCTATCACTACATGCCCTTGTAAAAAGTTGCTTCCCAAATTCCTTTCCAACCTTTCCTTGTTGGTTCCTTTAGGTACTAGAAAATTGCTGTAAGGTGTCCCCTGAGCTTTCTCTTCTCCAGGCAGAGCAACCCCAGCTCTCTCGGTCTGTTTTCACAGGAGAGGTGCTCCAGCCCTCTGATCATCTTTGTGGCCCTCCTCTGGACTTGCTCCAACAGCTCTGCATCCCTCTTGTGTTGAGGGCCCCAGAGATGAATGCAGTACTGCAGGGGTCTCACGAGAGCAGAGCAGAGGGGGAGAATCAACTCCCTCGACCTGCTGAACATCCTCCTTTTGGTACACCCCAGCATACAGTTGTGCTGCAACTGCACACTGCAGATTCGTGTTTAACTTAAAATTAAGTTTTTAAAATGAGCTTTTCTTCTTAAACAGTTCCCCCAAATGGTATTTCTTTTGTATTTTCTTCCACCAGCGTACTAGCATGCCTGTTTTCCTTCTAAAGGGCATATAGAGTTTTTATTTTTCCCTTGTATGGCATATTGCTGTTTCTAATCCTTTGGGTTGGCAGTATTGATACTGCTGTAGTCAGGTTTGAGCTGTCAGACTTTTCTGGGTGGATTAGAAAATAAATTATTTCTGTGCCATGCTGTGTTCTTCAGTTCGGTTCTTTATTTGCCACAATTTATAGAAAAGAGCAGAGGGGAAAGAAAATTAAATTACACTTTATGGAATTTAGCCAGCAGAGGGAGCCAGTATAAACCCAATGTCAGTCACAGAACATTATTCAGTTGACAACAAATAATGTTTACACGTTGGAAGGAGACTTCATAAGGTATTTTATGTATGTATTGAATTATACATAAATTTTAAGGGGAACAGATGTGAAAACATAGAAATTGCTTCTCTAATTTAGTAACCTTGTTCCAATGGAGGCCAATACCAGATTGCTCAGATAAAGAAATTATGTTCTCATCAGGCTCCTTTGTGCTAACATCTGAAAACTATAAATAGGAAGACTGCAAAGAAGTAGGAGAGATACGTCTTTATTCTGCATTGAAATGCTTTAGGTGGAAACAGCAACTTTTTTGTTAGGGTATAATGGAAAAATGTAAATATTCCTGTTAAAAGTGAAGTCTGTTCTTCCAAAGCAGTATATATGTATAATAGCAAAAAGAATTTCAATGTTGTAACTTCATAGTGCTGGTGTCTTGAAATGCGAAGACTCTTGTCCTAAGTAATAGAACTGTAGATTTTCTGTTATTCATATAAATACATACTCCTTTCCTCATCTTTTTATACTTGTGTACCATGGCCACATTTCTTGTGTATTCTTTAATAAATATTTTTTTTTAAATGGCTTTTAGAATCATAGTCTAGAATAGAATCGCTTAGCTTAGAAAAGACCTTTAAGATCATCCAGTCCCACCATTAACCTACTGCTGCTTTTATCCTTATGCTTTGGGGTAGGTGTGAGCACCTGGTTGATCTCCACTTTTTTAGGTTTTTTTACATCGATGCATGCCATCCTAGGTGTTCACTTGCAAAACTAGTGCCATTAGGTTTGACTTCTCAAAAATCCTGTATCTTACTGCAGCTTTGGACACTGTGCTTCTGTTCTGATATTCTATCAAAGGAAAGCACCTTTAGAGCATATGCAAGAATATTT